ACAACACTAAAGAATCAGAAGGAGAAGAAGAAGAAGAAGATACCCCTACTGATGCAACTACTGAAAGATTCAAGCCAACATATAAAACAGTTGATAGAACCCGATTCCGTGATTTAGGAGAAGTAGCTGATGAAAATTCTGAAAGTGATTTGTTGCCTAAGTATACCACGATTAGTCGGACTAAATCATCAGAAAGTAATCCCGAAGAAACAACAAGTCCAAAATATGTTACTTTGCGTAGACAGAGACCAACTTACAAAGAAGATGAAATAAGTGATGAAGAAATCACTCCTGCAGTTGCAGTATCATCTACTTCGCAGACACCAAGGTATATCATACTATCGTAAAATACTAAAACAAAATATATTTATTATATATTATATTATATATAAATAAAATAAACCTATTACCTATATATTATACAACCATTTAATCGTGATGTATTTTAGGTATGTTTCATTATTAAGGCAAAGGAGTACAACCACTACTACAACACCTGATGACAGATTGATTGAAACAACCACGAAAGATGATGTCGAAGAACCAAGAGAAAATAAAAATACTAAGGTGAGTGATATGACTTTAACAACAGAGTCTAGCATAATTAGCACCATCTTATTCAATACTGAACCATTTACCGAGACAATCACAACAACTGTAAGCGTTCCCACATTTGCTACTGCAAAAAGTAGTGAAACTTCAAAAATACTATCATTAATTACAGAAAAAATGAGTGAAACCTCAAGTACAATCAAAGACCCAGTGTCAATTGATAAAAACATAAGTAATACTATAAGTACTACAAAAGCTCCAACTTCGACTATCACTAATGTTGTYACATCTATATATGAAGCTGCTACAGAAAGGCAAAGAGTTCGTGTAAAGAATATTCAAAACTTTTTATTGGAGCACAAGAAAACTGAACCAGTTACTCAATCAATCACACAAACTATAACGCCATTAACTACTACTTTGTCTACAACAATTGAAAATATAGCACCAGTTGAAGAACCAACTCAGAAATCAATACTTAAAGGTCGATTTGGAGGTCCTGTACATTTCAGACCAACACTAAGAAAATTAATAGGCATTCCAGAAAACAATGGAACGACAACAGAGAAAGTAACTGAAACTACAACGGAAAAAATAGTTGAAACAACTACCGAGAAAAAAAGTCGTTTAAACAAATATACTAACAGATTTATTAGACCAGCTAGTAATTTTAGTACAGAAAATATAAGTACAACAAGTAAAATATTTGTTTCAACTACTGAAAGCACACCAGAATCGAGTACTAGGCAAATTAATAGATTTAGACAAACTACTAGCAGTACCACAGGTAATCCACTGCCGTTAACTAGAAAGTTTATTTCTAGGTACAGGCAAAGAACAACAGAGTTACCAGTGATAAACAATACAGGAGTTCAAGAAGTTCAAAGGTCGCGATTTTTTAGAAGCCGCAAACCAATTTCTTCTACCACAACTACAACAGAAGAAACAATAACTGAATTATTAAATGTCGAAGAAAATGCAGAAAATGTTCGTTATGAAGCAACAACATTTCGCACTCCTATTACAATGTATGTCCCAACTACAAACGTCGGAGAAACTTCGACAAACGTCGAGGAAACTCAAATAACAACAGTCGATAGTTTTGAGCCAATAAAATATAGTACAACTGAAATGACAACAATACAGTCAATCACTAATAAAATAACAAAGTCTTTCAGAGGATCAATACGAGCAAACGACGGACTTCAAGATAGTAAAATTGATAAACCACGATCTCCGTCATTAGGCAGACAGAATTCGAGATTTTTAAAAGATGAACAAAAAATATTATACATTAGAGTTATGCCTTCGCCAGACGGACGATCTCAAAATGAGTTTACATCAAATCCAGTCAAAAATGTAACTAGAAATCGGGGTAGAGTCAAAGCATATGATTCTCTAGAACTTAATACTCTGACCGATGAGTTGACATCAAATAATGACGACCGACCAAATGAGCTGTTCCGAGGAAGTGAAACAAAATTCAGACCAACTACTACTACCACCACTGAATCGACAGAAGAGGTATGAATGAAATTTGCATAACAAGTTAAAACAACTAAAACGAACGTCGGTCAGGCGCACGAAAGCTACTAATAAAATAAACTACCTCATTAATATGAATTACGAATGTGTAAATGTTGTRGTCGCTGGTGTATTGATGACTGCTGCATGATTAAATCTAAACTGGAAAAATTATTTTGGTTTAACAAGAACCATACTGACGATTAAAATCGGTGGAAATAAGTTGCATGATAAAAATAAAGACAGGTGCGAACGGTACGAGCATCCGCTACGCCACTGCATTGCATCCTAAGCTTCCCATCCACTAATAAACATAAATGCTAACAACATACTCATTTTATTTATACTGTATTTATTGATAAATTATCATAATAGTAAGTATCATTAATATTTTTTTAAGATTCAAAAAAATAGAATTCGTCAACGAATTACGAGACCAATTCAACGTTCAACGACAACAACTACTACTACCGAGGAATCAACTCCAAATTCGTCCGCAACAGAATCATATTCGTCAAAAGTTAATCGAAGSAGAAAATTTAGGCCCGAGTATACAACTACTTCAACTTCAACCTACGAGGAAGGTATGTTATTTATTTTTATACAATTTCATCAAAATACAATTATAAATTACATGACATAGTTAGTCAGATAATTTTATGTAATCACAAAAAAACTGATTCCTAATCAGTTTAATAATAACAAATACGATTTTTTTAATATAAACATAATATTTTATAATATATACTTAATATCTACTATAAGTTACACTTATTTTATTTTTATTACTAACACAAGTTACTACAAATTTAGTGTGGCATCATACCTGGGTTGATCATTGAATATATTATTATCGAACGAAATCAAATTCATTATTTTTAAGGAATATCGTGATTTAATAGTTATAAGGTTTTTACTTTTTATAATATAATGTAATATTACAAAACACAAAGTGCACAAAACGCACTTATTTAAAATTAATTTTGATTGCAATTACCTTATTATTGAAACGCGAATTTAAGGTACTATAAACAAAATATATTCTTGCCCATATCCATAGTCTTAGCGGTAGCTTATATTAATTTTTATTAATTTCAGCATAGGTAGTAAATATCATATATTCAAAATAAAACTTATATTGTCATTACAAGGACTGTTAAATTTTATTTTAAAGAAATAACTACGCCAAAAACTCGAAATCCTGAACGAAGATTTAGGAGCCGGACACCGTTATTGAAAAATAAAATAACTACAAGTACGACACCAGAGACCTTGGAGAACAGTGATAGAGAATTCTTCAGCACGTCAGCCCAGCCATATTTCGATGATTCGAGTCTTTTTGCGAAGACCCGAGACGATCGTAAAATTGGAGGATCAACRGAAGACTTGGCCAATACAGCTGTAGTTGCCATACATACACTCGCTACAGCACCGCCATCGAATTACGAATTTAGTAAGAATGCTTATATACAGTATACACACTATATATTAATGTGCTATTTTAGCAAATACAATAGTTAAGAATATGATACATCTTTAAGTGTATACAGTCGAAAAAATGTTATTGATTTTTTTTCGCAGGACCTTCTACGCACAGTCCGCAGCAGAACGTTTTTCGTGAAACCACACAGAACCACGAATATTTTGAGCCACAAGCGCCACATTCTGTAAATGGATTCAATGGCGTCCAGCAGGCTAGACTACCGGCACAGTCACTGAGACAATCGGTGCAACCTCAACTGCAGCCACCGCCGTCACCGTCCATCAAGCTGCCCGCGGTTCCGTTCCAACCGGCACCTTTCCAGCCTTCTCCGTTCCAGGCGGGTCCCTTCCAGCCCGTTCCGTATCCTGGACTTCCGTTCCAGACAAACAACGCGTTCGCGCCAGTSGCGAGGCAATCGCCCACCACCGCCCTACCACCAGCCACGTCACGGCAAACGTTCATATTGCGAAGGGGCCCATCGAGGACGACACCGCTAGGAACAGCTGCGACGTCCGCGCCGCCGCAGTACTTGAACGACAACACGCAGGAACAGTACGCCGACTATTCGGAACCGGAACAGGCGTCCGACTCCAGTGAACAGCGGGTGGCTCTCAAGGGTAAGGTCCGGATACACGGGGACGGGTACATCGAGTGCCTGGACATGGGCAGTTTCCCGCATCCGTTCTCGTGCCAGAAATTCATATCCTGTGCCAAGACAGAATATGGAGCGCTGCTCGGATGGGAGTACACATGCCCCAAGGGGCTGTCATTCGACCAAGTGGGCGGAATTTGCAACTGGTCGTCCGGGCCCGTGTGCAACAACTGATCTGACCAGTTGTATGCGTCACAAAAGCACGAAAAAATCCAAAAAGCGAAAATAATAATAAACAAAATAAAATTCCTAGTCTCTGCCTGTTTCTGTTGCTCTATCAATCTCTCCCTCTCCCTATCTCACCTATCACTATTTTTATTTTTCTCTCTATCTCTCGACGTATATGATTTTTCGTTACGTTTAAAACGCTGAATATTCTTTTCAGGGCCAGTTTTTGACAGAGAATCCAACTCGGATGAAATTACATTAATTTAATCGGACTGTCGATATCAAAATAGTATATATATATATCTAAGTATTGTAATTTCATTCGATTTGTTTTGTATACATATTTTATAAGTATAATTTTTGTAATAATTAAATTTAGATTTTTATTTTTATTTAAGAATAAATTGTAATTATAAGATATTTTGTGTTTAAATTTTATAATTTCCCATGTATGTTACATCYTAAACTCATAATATAATCACCTCAGAACGTGGAGTATTCTTTATAAATTTGTAATAAACTAATTATATACAGAGGTATTCGTGTGTAGGACCATTGATTATAGAATAGTCTATTCTATAATCAATGGTAGGACGTAGGTATACTATATAATACGAGATATGATCGTTTTAAAATTTAAAATCRTCTTAAAATGTTTGTTGGTACATATAAATTAAAATACACATCATAACTATTAACTTAAAAGCTATAACTTATTAGATACCAATACAAGTATAAAATACTATTATTATAGTAATATATTCGTGTTTTATTACCGTCCATGTTGCCATGAGAAGTAGTTGTTAGCATAATTATTATAAAATAATCATAAGACACACAATATAAATTTGATTATAATTTTTGTTTTTATAGATCTCAAAATAAAAAATAATGTTCAACGAAATAATCAATTAGCGATTACCACAAACCTTAAACCTTACCGACTAATACTATTCAGTAACTTTTTGCTGGCCGAAAAATACATTTAAATATTATATAAAAACAATAATTTTTTAAGTTAAAAATATAATAATGTTTTCTATATCTAAACAAATAAATATATTAAAATTAAATAAGTATAGTAAACTGAAAATGTATACCACGTTTATCCCGTTATCCGTGGATATTGCTATATGTGTTGTAGGTAGGCATACTTAATAACTATAGCATTTTGTGTTTTATAAACAGAATTCATTTATCTATATATTCACCAAATACGTAAAATCTCTAGTATAATTTATAGTCTACCTTGAACGACATTATATTTTCTTCAGCATATTAATAAGATGTGGTTCAATCGATTTCCAATTTCTTAAACGTACCACTCATGTCCATATCAATCTTTTTCGCTTGTACTGGTCGTTTCGATAAATCTGCTTTTGGAATATTTCTGTACCATTCATCATCTTCTTTTGTCGCTCTCATGATGTCGTCTGAAATAAATAAATAAGCGTTTAAGTAGGACTGCATAAGTTATTAGGATAGACATCAGTTTAATTAGGTATTGGTATACTAAAATTGTTTCGATCGTACGATTAGTAATCGTGCCAAAACTTTTGATAAAAATATGATTTACCTTCGAATTTCTCGATACTACCCGCGGTACCGCCGTATTCATCCGGTAACACATCTCTGGGAATGTATTCGTAAAGTGTATCGTAGGTTTCGTGAATGACAATCTAAAACCAAACGTTCAAGACAATTAGTATAATTTAGGTACCTATACACAACCTAAACGAGAATTTCGATCAGAAGGCACACTATTATTATTTACTCGGTTTTGAATTTTAGATGGCATGAACAGTTTAAAAAAATTCACCAAACGCGACACAAACTTTGGTGGATTTACGTAGTGGACACCTCTTACTCGCAATGGCGTAGCTTCCTGAAACCGAAAACGCAGTGTTTATTTAGTGTTGTACAATGGCAAATTTGTAATAATTATTAAAAYGAAAGTACCTATTCAATTGTATTTTTGATGTAATATGTATGTACTATGTGATTACATATATATATATATAAAAAACATATAAGTATACCAATAAGGCAATATGAATTAACGTTATATATTTGTATTTTGTAATTTCTTATAAATATTAATACATTAATAATTAATATTATTCTTATAATTTTTTCTTTGGAATAACTATATGWGTAATGATAGGCTAGACTGCTTAGATTATTTTAACCTGCAGTTAAATGATATTTATTTACTATATAGAAATAGATAGTAATATSATCGCTATAAGCTGTTAAAAATAATTACAGCTTTTCACAAACGGAATGTTTGTTTTTACGTAGGTGGGTTACTGGGTTAGTATACAATATACGCTGTATCTACATTTTATGTAACTAACAGTTGAATTATATTCATTACTTACGTCTATGCACCGCATTAGATTTTTCGTCAATGTAGGCGTAAAGCTTAATAAATAAGACAGTTGACAATGTTTGAGATCGAGCAAAAACACCAATCCGTATACGGGTTCTCGGCGCATTAAATAATCAATKATTTTCAATGATCCTTTACACATAGCCATCGCATCAAAGTCTCCATCGTTGTTTTCAATTGAACGAATAATGTGCACGCGATTTGCTTCCGGTGTCATTTTTGGTAATACTGACATTTTTCTATAAACAATTGTTTTTTTTAAATTATATACTCTTATATATATGTATATGACTAGCTGACTATTGTATAGTATGCAATATGCATATTGCATGTTGCATATTCAGCATTTATATTATATATGATATTACACGTATACTGTTTATACTAACAATAATCATAAGTATCATATTATAACGATCGGTAAGAGCTGTTCATAGGTTATTAGCGAGTAGAACTACAATGTACGTCATTACGATTTATACTGTTAACAATAAATGTTTATATAATACGTTTATGTTATTATTTATATTATATAAATTTCTATTTTTATAATTTTTATAATTTCTATATTTCTATATAGATACAAATTAACTCATCACTTGTCCGGAAAAGAGAAATTTAGAAATAATAAAGTAAAGGTCCATCTTAAATCTTAATATGACATTGCTATTCAGTATCAAATATAAATATTTTAGATACAAAGTTGAAACCATAAATGATATTTTATAATAGAACTAAAGTGATTTTTCTTGATGTTCCGCAAGTGTGACACCGGCCTTCAAAAACTCAGTACGATACATTTTAAAATGTATTAAGGCTATTAATATTATTTATCTAAGAAATGTCAATTTTAATTCTTAAGGTCACTAATCTTGAAAAGGGAAAACAAGTTTATTTTTATAGTTGTTTGAGTTTACTTCTGTAATTAATAATATAGGGATTCTACTTTACCGGAAATCATTGCTTTTAAGGATATTATTAACTGTACAACTGTCAAAAATAATTGTATTAGAATTTCTTTTAATTACTTATAAAATTTAAATTTCCACCTACTAAGATGTTTGGAACCCAAAATATAAGATATCTAAATTTTTGTATTTAACACGTAGTTTTTAAAATCAAATTAGATAAACATAGCGCATAAATGCACAATCTGATACTTATAAATAATAATCATTATCTTTGAACATAGGAGAACAGTATAAATATTGACCAAAATAAATTAACATTAAAATGTGTAAGTTACCCTTTTAATGGACATATAGTGYTAGTATATAGTCATATAATTATGACAAATATTAATAATACAAACTTACCCAATTTTAACAGCTTTTTGAATCCATTCAGCATCACTCGACATGTCGTTGAAAAGTTCCGGCACTTCTACACGAATCGTAAAGTATGATTCAATAACTTTCTTCGTCCTTTGCAAATTATTTTTACGGCCAATGAGGAAATGTCTCAACCATACTCGGTCTAAATAAAAAAACCAATAAACAACGTGCTTACTTTAAATTCGTGTTTATACTTACAATTTTATTTAAATTCAGATTATTAGTTACTATTTCTGGAGTTAATAGAGAGTAAACTCTACGCACGAGAAGCGTTGCTAATTTATGACATTTTCTCCGCATAACATGCTTATTAATTGTTATATATTTATACATAATTTTAGTAAAAATTATATCTTTTTCTATTAAAAAATGTACTAATTTAAAAAAAAAAACAGATAAAATGGGATGAATCGATGGATATTGAAAACATTATGACTACAACTTTTTATAGGTAACTAGATCAACACCCAGTTAACCAAGTAAAATAAACTAGTTAATCAACTATGTRAAATATATTAGGTACCTACCTATTATAATATGATAATGATTATGTTTTCAATATACAAATGTATACTCGATTTATGTTCATTAGATAATCATTACCGTTTACCRATTACCATAATTGAATAATTATATGATATAACTGTATAACGGTTAAATATTTTTTAATTTTTTTTTTAATTAGTTTTTAGTACTTACACAACTACTATCTATATCTCAACAATAAAATTATAAAGAAGGGCTTGAAACAGTTTCCAAAAAATTTGGTAACTGGTTATCGTTTTATTTTGACATTTTGGTAACCTGTAATCGTTTCTCTAAGGATATCTTAAACAATATGACAACCGTTAATCGTTTAAAACTGTTCATTTGTTTTTTTCGATAATCGATTATCGAATAAAACTGGTTTGGAAAATTTGAATTTTGTATGTACCAAAGCCATTGAACTTTGTTTACTTGAGTCCCTATTCTCATGATGAATAATGATATATACTTATTACTTATACACTATACACAGTGGCATGTTGAACGATGCACCGGGTTTTATTGTTTTTATATGTAACACAGTGACACCTATAAGTATATGCACCAAAAATAAAATACACTATTATATACTACGTTTATATTATGATGGCGTTAAAACGCTCGAACTATGTAGTTTAAGAATTTAAAACAGATTTAATTTCAAAACCATTTTAACGCCGTCATATAAACGTAGTAACAAACTATAAAACAAAGTGTAAATTTTAATGCGATATATGACTGGGTATACTGCTATATTCCGACTACCTATAGTGCTGAGTAGCACCGACATAAAATATGATAAACTTGTATGTATATTGTATAATGAATTATGATGATATTATAAGCATTTAATGTATAAAAAAAAAGATATGGACAATTAGGTATATTATTATTAAGAAGATACCACAGGAATTTGTTGTCTCCGTCTCATAAAAACGTATACAAAGTATATTTTAAGTTCACAATAATATCTTTTACTCTGTAATTTCAAAATTAAAGTGAATTTAACTCTTATGAAATTTAAAGACAAGAATATTATCTAGGGCATCTCGGAATATTTTATTGATATTATTATTAATTTTAAGTAAGCTATGAACATTTTTAAACTGTTATATTTTTTTGATAGGTACATTTTATAATGATCATAACTTACTTAAAAACAATATCAATAAAATATTCCAAGATGCCTTAGATAATATTCTTGTCTTTAAATTTCATAARAGTTAAGTTCACTCTAAATCTAGAAATTACAGAATAAAACGTATTTTAATAATGTGAACCAAAAATTTTCCGAGTTGTGCGTTTGTATGACAGAGAGAAAATAAATGCCAGTGTGGCCTCCTCTTAACATCGAGTACCTAAACCAAATAGTATTTAATGTGAATAACTATATATTATGTTCCATTTTATTTTTTGTTATGAAGGAAGATTTTCCTAGAATATCACTAGAGAACATTCAGCGGCGTGCCACAGACTGAGAAACGTTGCTATACATAAGATATTCACAACAGATAAGCAATACTCGAATACCACTAATTGGGATAGTAATTTATTAAAAGCTTAAAAATAAATTCAACTATATAAACTAAAAATATAAAATTCAAAATAATTTAAAATTTAATTAAATTATAAATGAAAAACGCAAAAATTGTGTGTCAGAAATTGGTTTTGGTTATAAAACCTAGTTTGAAAATAAAAGGTAACGGCTTTGAAGTATTTTAAAATGTTATGAAAATAGCAATAATTATTAAACTATTGGATTTTTATTAGAGTGCTAAAAATGAAATAAAAGYATTCGATAAATAATTGGAAATAATTGTGCAAGGAGAACACAAGCAATGCGTCTCATTATATGATTAAAATATATAATATGTAGGTACCAACTGTGGTTTAGTTAGAACAATACAGTGACTAATAAATTAATTCCCTGTATATAATTATTATAAATTATTAATTCAACATTATTCCTTAGTATTCAAGTTTTCACTTATCACAAATCACAATACAGTTAACTTTCCACGATTTAGAATATACAATTATGAACTTTAATAATAAATAATGTTATAACACATATTTATTAAAACCATTACATTTAATGCGTTCATAGGTATATAAAATACCAAAAAAAAACATTTTTAATCTCGTAGAAAAATGTAYGGGTACGTCATAATTTTAAATTCAATAATATTTCTAATAAACAAGATTCGCTGATAAACTAATATTATACAGTTCAAAACATAGGTACTATGATGATGACATTTTTTCGAGATATTTTTTAAGTGCAAATTTATTTTTACGGTATTAATAATAAATAATAATCATGAAAAATCTAGTAAATTAGAGTGTTCGTTTTATTATRAGAAACATATTTCAACAAACCTGTAATATTAGGTAAATGTGGTTGTTTAGACAACCATTCAATCAATGCGTCAATATCTTCTTCAACATCTTTAGGGTCTTTGTAGAAGTACAGATTCTTGATAGCTTGTTCGTGTTGTTCATTTGGCGGCAATAGAACCATTTTGGCTGATATATACAGTTATGTAAAAATCGTATGCGAACTTTAAAAAAATGATGATTTGAGCCTTGAGGTAACTTAAAAAAATTTTTTTAGTGTGAGCGTATATTGTAAATATGCAAATGATATGACGTGCAAAACTATACCACTGGTTCAAAATGTTTAGCAGTTGCTGTAATACATCATTTATTATTTAGTCGGTGCAACATACTAATCGGAAACATACACKTTAGTAAGTATAAAACGGACTTTAGGTATATATTTACAGAACTAGTTTGTGTTAGCCTTGATAAATTTCTCAGGATTTATTCGTTATATTACATATAACAAGTCCAATAAAGTTGTTTCCTGAAAACAATTCAGGGTCTTGCTTTATGATAYTACTACTCCCCCCAATAAAATGTAGATAATGCTATAATTTAAATTTTAGATAAACGCTAGTTTTTAGACAGCTTTTTATGACGATTTTACGAGTTTGCTTTGAATAAAAATACAAGATTTGCAATAAAATCTGTTCAAGCTATAAATTTTAGTGCAATTTCGACATCAACAAATCAACTTTTCATTTTTGATTTAGGTGAAGGGTACCCAAAAATCTGAAACATATTACACAAAGAATAACAATCAAAAAATAGTATATAGTTAGTACATGTACATAAAAATGATTAGGATTAGAATTTGGTATAGCAGGAGACACTATTAGCCATCTAATTAAAATGTGCCTACTTATACTGATGTATATATTTTTCTATAATAAAAAAAACTAAAAAGTACATTATGGTCTCGCAGTCTTCGGAGTTCATATTCAAATTTAAATTATTTTCCTGGCATTAAACTAAAATTACATATTAAATTAAAAGTATCTATATCCATCTTGTCCTTTATAAATATATTTATTGAATTATTTAGTTTATAATTTAATATATAAATATTACCTATATAACTTGAAAGTATAATAAATATAAATAATCTAAATTTTGTTCAAAATTCAAATAATTGATGTGTGTAATATCTACACTATTTATTTTGAAAAGTTCACCACAATAGGATACAGGCATGCAATACTCAGTACTTATTAAAATATTAAACAAAATGTGGTACCTACATAATTCCGTGGTATTATATATGCATATACCATTCGGGATATCCAAAGAGCTTACTGCAGTTGGYGTTTTATATGGTCAGAATTAAAAAAGGTCTGAACAAATTAACAAAGATTCTTGTATCAGGAGCATACTCAAGGGAGGTTTTCGGGTCTGGATCCTTCACCACCCATAGATTGACAGAATTTAAAATTCATAAAGTGCAGACCACTTGTTTTTACTGTTTACATGTTAAAAATATTTGGACCTCCCTTTAAAAAATTCCAGGGTACCTACGCCCCTGTCTTGCACTAATGACTACTACAGTCTATAGTATAGTTAAATATTAAATTGTAAATTTTATGAAGTACCTATTTATTTAATTCAATACACAAATATAATAATAATCTAGTATAGAATATAGATATCAGATATCTATGAATTTATTCTAGAAAAAGCCAGAGGCCGCAGGAGGGGCCACGGCCTATCCCCTACCCGCGTGCGCTCGCCTATATGTGTAGCTGTGTAGGTAATACTAAAAACTATTATGGGTATCAGGTATATAAGAGGACCTCGACAAAGGTCTTTATTTTTATCAAGGCTCTCAAGTATACACATCAGGACCAATTATCAAGTGAATCGTATAAAATATGTATAAATACTATTATTACGATCCCAGTGGATAAAAGATTACTTTCTGTCAGTATCTACCGCTTAACATCAAACATCTCTACACTACAAACCGGAATAACTGCACGTTTGTCGTTCGTATTTTTAACGTGAACGCCACAGATTAATATAACAATACGGGCATACAATACGTCTGTACAGTATATTATAAAGATATTTAACTGTTACTTTTATTTAGTTTGTTTTAGCGGTGTATATTATTCTATTACAGAATTTCTATCCGAAACATTAGTCCGTGTAAGTGTATGATTCAATGATTATATTCCTATATAATATATGATTTTAAGGGAAATTTTTTTATCATGCTTATAGTAATGTCAAAAAATGCATTTAATTATTATCAGGGCTCGGAAGTTATAGCACTTAAACAATTAATTTTTAGCGCTTAAATATGCCCATTAAAACATTAATATAAGCGCTATAAATAGCACTAAAAATTGGAAAATATGCAAATTAAAATTTCATTAACAAACATTTTKTATTTAAAATTTTTTTATAAACTAATTTTTAGACTTTTTTAAATTAAACAAGTTTAATATAAAATATGATATACTAAATATTTGAGRAGTAGGCACTTTTCCGACTCTGGAGCATTTTCTGTTGTGAACATTTTCTATCTAACCATCGAACGAATTCAATAACTGCAGTACATTTGATAAAATTTTAAAAATAACTAAATTATTGGGAACGAACGGAATAACCTGTGCGATCGGCAATAGTAACTAAAATGTACCTACCTACTGTTTGTTTTCGTTAGCATATTCATTATTCAATACAATTTAGTTTATTTTCATTTTATATAAAATATGCYTGTAAATAGTACTTAAAACTCAAAATTAGCAAAATAGCACTAAAAATCACAAATATGCAAAAATTAGCAAAATAAAATTTTGTATATGACATTAGAGAAGTTTGAAACAATTTTGTTTCTTACTCTGAATGTCCTAAGACCAACCAATAAAAATATGCATTTGCTAGAACTTCCGAGCCCTGATTATTATTATTTCTAAATATATATATATAGCGAAAGTTAGGAATATCTTATGCAAATAAAAAAAAAAATGTGAAAATATTCAGTATGAAAAAAAAAACTATTAATAAGTGGTAATACTAACCGGATAAAATGACTAGCCCATTGAATATAATATTAATTGGCCTATAGTATGACTCAAATTACGTGGTTATAATATTTTTTTTTCACATTTGGCTCACAAAAATGGATCATGTGTTTGAATAGTATTTTATTACGTATAGTGAATAGAAAAGTATATGTCGGGCAATGTTCTTCCACCTGACCACTATGCCACAGTGATGGATCTAAGGTAGAGGGGTGGTAAAGTGAATAAAATAGACACCCTTGAGCTTATTTTATTCAATCGCATTTGATTAATTTAATGCTTTTTTTTTAAATGGATACATTTTAACTACTCACTCATCTTCATTCRTTCCTGGGTACGTCATACGTGTACTAGTCACGCTTAAAAAGAACCTTTTTTTGTATACTGATTCTCCTCCAGTCCACCCCAACTACTTTGAACAAAGTCCAACAGTTAGTAACTAAATTATATTTTTAAATATTTTTTATCCTTATAATTTTTTAAGGTTTTACTTTTTTGAACAACAACATAGAGTTTTAATTTCATATTCCAAAGCAAAATATTTTATAAACTAATTTTATGTTGGTATATATACTATATAAGTCTGTAAAAATTAAATCCCCAAAATAAAATATTAAGTCTGTACAATTTTGACGATAATTTATAAGATATAAGATTATCAAATGTTACTTAATATGATTGTTATGTGCTGTATAGTTTGTACCTACCTTTGATAATACCTATATATTATAAGGTAAAAGGTAAAAGGTTACAACTACACCCACCTTATCTGTATAATGAGCTCACAAACATAATTTTGATACTCCCTATCTTAAAATAAAT